GGGCAATTTCAGAGGGTAGTTAAGAGTCAACCACATTGCAGTGGGTCATAGAATCAGTGTAAACCAGACCGAGTACAGACGGCAGGTTTTCTTCCCTAAAGGACATTAGTGAACCACACTGTTGCTGAATGCTACTTCTTCTAATTTTAGACGCTTGAAGGAATAACTTAAGGTCTGCCTTTGGTAATTGAGGAATGAACTTCTCTTCCTTTATGTCTTCCTTTTGTGGTCAGCTAGCCCAATGCCCTAAATGCAGTCAAAAGGACTAGTAGGGAGTTCTGTGCTGCACTGAACAATCTGATGTGCACAAGAACAAGCCTTCTGTTGTGGAAGCTCCTAGCCGATGTTCCTCAGCCTCCCCACTGGGGCTGTGACCTGGCACTGAGCGGCATAGATTCTCAACCTTACCTTTGCGCCATTCCTGCCACTAAGGATTCCTCTCGCCATACGTAACTATGTGAGGAAGGAAAAGAGAACTTCAGGTCATTGATCTTTCTAATAATTCTAGTCCAGGAATTGGGAGTCTTGATAGCACACATTATTGGTTGGGAATTGGGGATTCCTCAAAAAAAGAAAGAATTCGACAAACTTGAAGACAGAGCAGGGGGGCACCAGGCCGAATGGAATTGCTCATTCAAAGACCTAGCAAAAGCACAATGAGCAGATTGGCTGCCTTGTAAGAGATGTATGCCCAACTTTCTAATGAAAGGCAAGAGCCCATGGTATTGGCGGTAATATATTGGCATGGATTAGAGATTCGGCTAATGGGCAGGAAACAACGAGCAGGGATAAGGGTTTCTTTTTCAGGTTGGCAATGTGTAACCAATGGGCTTCCACAGAGATCAGTGCTGGGACTGCAACTGTTTACAATATATATTAATGACTTGGAGGATGGAAGCAAATGTACTGCAGCCAAATCTGCAGCCAACTCAAAATAGGTGGAAAGGCAAGTCGCAAAGGGTTGCAAGATATACAGATAGGTTAAATAAGTGGATAAAATATTGGCAAATGGGAAATTATGAAGTTGTTCATTTTGGAAGGAGGAACAAAAGAACAGTATTATTTAAATGGAGAAAACGTCAGAAACACAAAGCTAGTACAAAGCACAGGAGATAATCAGGAAGACGAATGGAATGTTGATCTTTATTGGGGTTGGCATATAAGAGTAGAGAAGTCTTACTGCAACTGTGTAAGGTACTGATGAGACCACAGTTGGAGTACTGTGAGCAGTTGTGCTCCCCTTATTCAAGGAAAGACATTATTTCATTGGAGGCAGTTCAGGAAAGGTTCACAAGGGTGATGCACGGTTTGGAGGAATGTCTAGTGAGCCAACTCTAAACAGATTGGGACTCTGCTCACTGGAGTTCAGAGAATGAGAGGTGATCTCATTGAAACATAAATGGCTGTTAAGGGGCTTGACAGGCTAAATGCTGAGATGATATTTATCATCATGGAAAGTCTAGGACCAGAGGGCATAGTCTCTGAATAAAAGGGTGTCAATTTAAGACCGAGATGAGGAAGAATTTCTTCTCTGAGTGATGAGTGTCTTTGGAACCCCTTGCCACAAAGAGCTATGGGGACAGACTCTTTGTGTATATTTAAGGTTGAAATCAATAGATACTTCAGTTCTGAAGAATGGTCACTGGACCCAAAATGATAACTCTGCTTTCTCTGCACAGATGCTGCCAGACCTGCTGAGTTTCTCCAGCAATGTCTGTTTTTGCTATAGATTGATTCTCCTACTGGTCAAGAATCTAAGGTTATGGGGAAAGGGCAGGCAAGTGGCCATGAGGAATGCCTGATCAGGCATGATCCTTTTGAATGGCAGAGCAGGCTCAAGGGGCCAAATAGCCTGCTCCTGTTCCCATTTCTTATGGTCTTACAGAATGTTAATGTTAAATCAGCTTCCATTCTCTTTCAGGAAAAGCATTCCAGATCAAAACAATTCCCCTCCCCGCCCCACTTAAAAATATTCTGCTCCCCTCCCTCTGATTCTTTTGTGAATTATTGCCCTCTATGTACTGATTCCAGTGCCAGTGGAAACGGTTTGTCCCCGTCTACTCCATCATGTGCTTCCAAAATTGTCAACACTTTTAATAATTCTCCTCTGCTCCGAGGGCTCAAGTCCAATTCCTCAGTCTATCCATAAACCTTGTTCTCTGGAATATCATAGTCGTCCTTCATCCTTCCCAGGTCTTCAACATCTGTACTAAAGTGTGGTGCCCAGGATACAACACAATTTACTAGCTGAGGCGCAATTAGTGTTTTGTCAAAGTTTATGCCATAACTTCCTTGTGTTTATTCTGTCCCTGCTTACAAAGCCTAATATCCTGCATGTATGCGTTTTATTAACATTCTCAACTTTCCTTGCCACCTTTAAAAGTTTGTGTCTGTGAACTCCCAGGCCTTCCTATTTCAGCAGTCTGTTTGTTCTTCTTGAACGGAGACAGAATTGATACTCGAAGTTCAGATCAGCAACACAATCTTAACTTCAGAAGTTTATTTATGCAGGTTGTACTTTCCAGATACAGCTACCTTGGACCAGAAAATTTGTTGCTCCACTGGAGCTCAAGTACATTCAAAATATAAAAACCACCTTGACTCGTATCAATCACAAGTCTAACAGGTGAAAGGTTTTCCATTTGAACACCAAAAGCAGGGTTTAGGTTGTCTGAAATGGACAAAGAATAACAAAAAGAAATATGAATAAGGAGGTTCTGCCTGTACTGAAATAGTCCATTTTTTTATTTCAAAAATATACTTTATTCATAAAAAAAATCTCTTTGTATATATACATGGACACAAAAGCAATTCGGGTCTGCACAGTTGCATATCAAGTAAACACACAAAACATTGGAGTTTGGCTATCCACAAAACCAAAGACCTCTCTTATACACAAAATACTAATATTTACATATATTTGACATACTAGGAGAGTCTGATAACTAAACGGATCCCTATTTACCTTCAGCAGAAAGACCTCGGACAGTAGCCTTTCCCCTCTGCGCCAAATGCTCCAAGCTTTAGTGCATCCCTGAGCACGTAGTCCTGGGCCTTGGAATGTGCCAGTCTGCAACACTTGGTCAAGGTCAACTCCTTGTTCTGGAAGACCAACAAGATTCAGGCATACCAAACAGAGTCTTTCTCCAGGTTGATGGTCATCTAGGCACAGTTGATGTTTGTTTTGGTGTGCATCCTGGGAAGCAGACTGTAGAGCATAAACTCCCAAGTCACAGAGCTGCTTCATGTTTCTTCAGACTTCCTTTGTAAAGGCACATTCCAGAGGGAGACAGAAGTGTGGCACACTTGACACCGCCTCCCCCCACCCCACCGAGGCACTTTGCGGACAGCATGCGGTGGCGCAGACTGACCAGGTATACATAAAGGATCTCACACAAGCCAAGTGATGTCTTACCTAAACACAACAAGACCTGTGCTCTGATAAAGAGTCATCTAGATTTGAAACGATGGCTTGTGCTCTTTCCATGGATGCTGTCTGACCCACTGCAATCTCCATCATTTGTTCTTTTCAAGACCTGAACAATATCCAGGCTTGGACTGAAAAATGGCAAGTTACAGTCATGCCACACAAATGCCAGGCAATGACCATCTCCAATAAGAGATGAGCTAACTATTGCCAGTTGACATCACTGAATCCCTCACAGTCAACATCCTGTGGGTTACCATTGACTAGAAACTGCACTAGCCATATGAATACTGTGGCTACAAGAGCAGGTCAGAAGCTAGGACTCCTGCAGTGAGTAACACACCTCCTAACTCCCAAAGCCTGTCCACCATCTACAAAGCACAAGTCAGGAGTGTGATGGAATATTCCTTGCTTGACTAGATGAGTGCAGCTTCAACAACAGTCAAGAAACTTAGCACCATCCTGAACAAAGCAACCACTTTATTGGCACCACATCCACTAGCATTCACTCCCACCACCACATATCCGTAGAATCCCTACAGTGTGGCAAGAGGCCATTCAGTCCATTGAATCTGCACCAACCCTCTAAACAGCATCCCACCCAGACCCAGCCCCTTTGCCTATCACTGTAATCCCATATTTACCATGGCTAATCCACCAAGCCTACACATTCCTAGACACAACAGACAATTTAGAATGGCCAATCCACCTAACTTGCACATCTTTGGACTGGGGGAGGAAACTGGAGCATCCAGTGGAAACCCACACAGAAATGGGGACAATATGCAAAATCCACACAGATATTCACCCAAGGCTGAAATCGAGTCCATGTCCTTAGCATTGTGAGGCAACAATGTTAACCACTGAGCCATTATACCACACCACCAACACTCAGCAACAGTATATATATACTATCTACAAGATGCCCTGCAAAAATTCACTGAAGGTCCTTGAACAGTAGTTTCCAAACCCACAACTGGGGTTGTCCGTCCAGAAGGATAAAAACAGCAGGTATATAGGATCACTACCACCAGAATGTTCCTGTCTAGGCCACTGATCATCCAGACCTGGAAATACATCACCATTCCTTCAATCGGATTGCGATTCCTTCCCATTCCTTCCTTCTGAGGAAGGGTCACTGGACCCGAAATGTTAACTCTGTTTTCTCCTTCACAGATGCTGCCCGACCTGCTGAGCTTTTCCAGCAACTTTGTTTTTGTTCCTGATTTACAGCATCCGCAGTTCTTTTGGCTTTTAGTTACCATTCCTTCAATGTTGCTGGGAAAAAAAATTGTAAAATTCCCTCCCTAATGGCATATTGGGCCTACCCATACCATACCGTGGGCCTACGTGGATGGCAGCATTTCAAGCAGGCAGCTAATCACCACCTTTTCAATGGCATCTAGTGATGGGCAATAAATGCCAGCCCAGCCAGTGATATCCATGTCCCGTGAGTGAATTTAAAAAAAAACTTAATACTAGGTATTGCTGACAAATACTCAATAGCAGCATGCCCTGGAGGTGTATTCAACATTTACCGTGTCTAATTTTCTGGTCTGTTTTGTCTCTTCAGTATGACATTGTTGGTCACTCAGGAGATGGATTCAACATTGAGCTAGTCAGGAGTGAAAAGCCTCCGAGAAACAACAAGGAGAGACTTCAGGTTATGAAGGTAATTGGTTTTGTTCCTTGCTTGTCACTGCAGATGTTGTGATCCACTGCATCGCTCACCAGCACAAAAAGCAGCAAGAGCTAACTCTGTGGATCGTTGAGATAAATGAAGCTTTTTATTAACAAATGTGCAGAAGATTATAGAGCTAATCCGATAAGATACTATGGAGTAAAGATACAGAGCAGGCATAACATAATTGAATAGTATAAATGTCTTGAGGAGCAGAATGGCCTGCTCCCCTTGCTCTGTGTACCAAGGTACCGTTCCCATCTCTGACAGCAAAGAGAGGGAGGGTATGGCTTATGAAGAATAGAAGTTGGTGTTAGCCTTCAGTCCCTGGACCCTATTTGCCATTCAGTGCTACAAATGCAAGACAGTCATATTGTAAAATATTTCCTTTAATTTGAAGCAAAATAGAACTCCTGATTAGAGGCACGGTTAAAATCTGTCAGGAGACAGGCCCATGTGATCTGATTCTCATGGGGAAAGAGGCCAGAATGAAATAAATAGAAAATCAAATGACAGTTTTCACACCACGCATGAAATAGGAACAGCAGGTCTTTATGGACAGCAACGTTCAAACTCAGACCCAAAGGGATAGACAGGACCAGCTGCTACATGAAAATAGACAAAAAAAAACTGTTTTGTGTTAGCTATGAAGCAGGAGGCTAATGGGGACTTCTGTTAGAAGAACCAAGTCTTGTTGAGATCTAAGGACCAAGGTGTCACCAGGATGGCCTTACTACTTAAAGCCAGTTAGGGGATACTCAGAAGATTGAGTTGAATGACATTTGAAGGTCACTGGAAGACTTGTCCAAACGTGGCAGTGAGAAGGAAGCCTGCTAAAAAGCCAGGAGCACCTTAAGACTGCATCTACCAGATGTTGTATCTTTTGGGAGCATGGTATAGCATCCAAACAGGTTGTACAATATTTTGGTTGTATCAGTTAATTAATGAGAAGTACCATTTCCTTTTAAAAACTGAAGAAACTGTGGATGCTGTAAATCAGGAACAAAAACAGAAGTTGCTAAAAAAGCTCAGCAGGTCTGGCAGCATCTGTAAAGAAAAATCAGAGTTAACGTTTCGCCTCCAGTGACTCTTCTGCAGAACTTCAATAATTTTAGAGCCTAAACTCTCCCACATCCGAGCCCCCAACCACACACACCAAGCCTTGTTATCACATAGCCTGCTATTACACACTACCTATTGTTAGTCATTAATAGTCCCATTAACAGCTATTCACCCTCCTAGCCAGATTGTTATCGACTCCTTTGTCTATCCAACTGCTCTTCTCTCTCCATGGGCTCGATCCCCACCTATCGTCTACTTCTTACCCCCTCCACCTACCCTATCTTCTGCACATAAACTGACATTTTCCTAGCTACCATCAGTTCTGAGGAAGGGTCACAGATGCCGCCAGACCTGCTGAGCTTTTCCAGCAACTTCCGTTCTTGTTCTTGAATAACAGCATCCGCAGTTCTTTCAGTTTTTAAATGTTTGAGCTATTTTGATTTTAGTTTGTTTGTTACAGTAAAGTCTTAAAAAATGAATCTTTACCTGCGATTCATTCTGTCAGTCACTGGGAAGTTTCAACTTCTTTCAAAAAAATTCTTGTTCTTACTGAATTGTCATTATTAGAGAATACAAGAAGTCCAGATTTGGTCTGGGATTCAAATCCAGGGGCTGTAAAATGGGTATGCTGGAACTTCCCTGAGTTTAAGTAAAAAAAGTTAAACATTTAGAACATAGAACAGTACAGCACAGTACAAGCCCTTCGGCCCACGATATAGTGCCGACCTATTATTCTACTAAGATCAAACTACCTTGCATACCCGACATTTTACTATCCTCCATGTGCCTATCCAAGAGTCACTTAAAAGTCTCTAAAGTATCTGACTCCACCACCACTGCCGGCAACGCATTCCACACGCCCACCACACTCTGTGTAAAGAACTTACCTCTGCCAGCTCCCCTATAGCTCTCTCCATCACCTTAAAATTATGCCCCCTCGTAATAGTCATTTCCGCCCTGGGAAAAAGTCTCTGACTATTCACCCTATGCCTCTCATCATCTTGTACACCTCTATCAAGTCACCTCTCATCCTTCTTCGCTTCAATGAAAAAAGCCCTAGCTCCCTCAATCTTTTCTCAGAAGACCTGCCCTCCAGTCCAGGCAGCATCCTGGTAAATCTGCTTTGCACCCTCTCTGAAGCTCCCACATCCTTCCTATAATGAGGTGACCAGAACTGAATACAATATTCCAAATGTGGTCTAACCAGGGTTTTATAGCGCTGCAGCATAACCTCACAGCTCTTAAACTCAATTCCCCTGCCGATGAAAGACAACACACCATACACCTTCTTTACAACCCTATCAACTTGGGTCACAACTTTGAGGTATCTATGGACATGAACCTGAAGATCCCTCTGTTCCTCCACACTGCCAAGAATCCTGCCATTAACCCTGTATTCTGCATTCAAATTCGACCTTCCAAAATGAATCACTTCACAATTTGCAATCTTCATTGAAAAGTTAACATGACTACATACAGGTGGAAGTTTATTTAAATGGAGAGAGGTTGCAAACTCTGAGATACAGAGGGTCTGGATGTCCTGGTCGATGAATGATGTAAAGTTAGTTTGCACGAAGACAAATTGCCGCTTCTTGTGATGGAAATGGAAAATAAAGGAGAATTTTTTTTTCTTTTTTTGTCTGATGGAAAGTGAGCTAACAAGACCAGCATTTGTTCCCCATCCTTATTTGCCATTTAAGTGAGTGGCTTACCAGGACGTTTCAGAGAGTAGTTACAAGACAACAATGTTGCTGAGGGGTTTGGAATCACAGACTGGACAAATATGGCAGATTTATTTTCCTAAAGGATATTGGTGAACCAGATTGCTTTAAGCAATCAATAACGCTTTCATGATCACCGTCATTGAGACTAGCTTCTAAATTTGCACTAGATCCCATGGTGAGATTTGAATCCATAGTCCCAGAGCATGAGCCAGGTTCTCTGGATTACTGGTCTATACCACTGTCGTCCTGGTCGGGATGTTTAGCTGCAGTTTCACTGGAGTACTTTGTGCAGTGTTGATCTTCTTACTTAAAATAGGATATAGATTTGAAACAGTTCAGAGAAGGTTTACTTGACTGATTCCTGGGATGGGAGAGGTTAGACAGGCTGGGCCTTTATCCACTGGAGTTTAGAAGAAAGAGAGGCGACCTTATTGAGACATAAGATACTGAGAGGACTTGACAAAGTGGTCATTTTTTTCTATTCATTCACAGGATGTGGACATTTCTGGTAAGGCCAGCATTTGATGCCCATCCCTAATTGCCCAGAGAGCAAATAAGAGTCAATCACATTGCTGTGGGTCCGATGTCACATGTAGGCCAGACCAGATAAGGACAGTAGATTTTCTTTCCTGGTTAGTGAACCAGATGAGTTTTCCCAACAATCTGCAAAACCATCGGACTCTTAATTCCTGATTTTTTAATTGAATTCAAATTCCACCATCTAGCATGGTGGGATTTGAACCTGGGTACCTAGAACATTGTGGACTTCACAAGCTTCAAAATCTCCCCTCCCCCTACCGCATCCCAAAACCAGCCCAGCTCGTCCCTGCCTCCCTAACCTGTCCTTCCTCCCACCTATCCCCTCCTCCCACCTATCCCCTCCTCCCACCTATCCCCTCCTCCCACCTCAAGCCCCACCCCCATCTCCTACTACTAACCTCATCCCGTCCCCTTGACCTGTCCGTCCTCCCTGGACTGACCTATCTCCTCCCTAACTCCCCACCTACACTCACCTTTACTGGCTCCATCCCCGCCTCTTTGACCTGTCTGTCTCCTCTCCACCTATCTTCTCCTCTATCCATCTTCTATCCGCCTCCCCCTCTCTCCCTATTTATTTCAGAACCCCCTTCCCCTCCCCCATTTCTGAAGAAGGGTCTAGGCCCAAAACGTCAGCCTTCCTGCTCCTCTGATGCTGCTTGGCCTGCTGTGTTCATCCAACTCTACACCTTATTACCCAGGTCTCCAACAGCCTAGTGATAATACCACCAGGCCACTGCTTCCCCCAAAAGGATGAAAGAATGTTCCCTTTTGTGGGCAAGACTTGAAGTAGGGGTATAGAGTTTAACAATCTCTCACTTGAAATTGATTCTATGATTCTAAGAGGGAGATAATAATTTATTTTTGTGACAGAGGATTATGAGTCTGTGGAGCTTGAGGAGGAAAATGATGGTCCTGGTCGCACTCCAGTCTGGGTAGCTAGAATTCAATTAGAAACCAAACAACTTGTGTAGGAGCCTTCAACTGGAGAAAGAAGGCAATTAAAAAAATACTTGAAATTCCAAAGAAGAAGTCAAAGGATAAACATTGAATTTCAAAAGAAGGGAAGTTTGAGTTTGACAGAGGAAGACCAAGAATATGTGAACACAAGATATCAGTAAAACTTGAGGATGACTCAGATTTAATGCCAGGTTTTACTTTGACAATAAATATTTACTTGGTGCCTAAAGTCAGTGAGAAGAAGCTGAAAGATGTCACTTGAGAAAATTGCCATGAAACTGCAATTGCTAAATGTTGTGTGAATGTGTTTGTGGTGAAGGTTTTGGCAGTGTACTCATCCCATTCAGTTGTACAGACTGGTGACTATGATACAGTGAAAGCTTGCTGTTCATCATTCCTGAGTTAGTGCCGGAGGTTTCCAGGCAAAAATATGGACTTTGTTGGAGAATATGAATTGCTATTTGATAGATGGTATAGATCAATAAAGCTTGAACCAGACTTTGAAAACCTTAGGGAGGTAATGGAACAATTTAAAAATAATATTCCTTTGGGAATAAGTTCTCACCTGGAAGTCCAGAAAGTTTCTAAGATCGGAGAAGTTGCAATAATGGTGGACTATTATGAGGGTTTTTTAGAAGGTTTTCAGTGTAAAGCCTAGTGAATTTTCACTTCATATCTTACTAACCTGCCACATTACTTACCAACCTGTCCCCTATGACTCTCAGATCTGATTTCAATCCCACATAACCATGCACCAATCCCAGCATAACTCACCACTCAGTGGATATCTGCCAAAAGACCAGCTCCTCTGTAAACTTGGTAATTTAGAAGGCTGAATATTAATTAGATGAGTTACGCCATCGGCAAAGTGTTTAACAAGCAAAAATCCCCCCTATCAAAGAAGCAAAATACTACGGATGCTGAAAATTTGAAACAAACGTAGAGAATGCTAGAGAAGTTCAGCAAGTTTAGCAATATCGCTGGTGAAAGACTAGTTAGCATTTCAAGTCTAGAAGTCCAGTTCTGAAGAAGAGTTGTACTGGACTTCAAACTAACCCTCCCCCAGTTGGAAACGTGCCCTGCTAGGGGGCATGGTGGCTCAGTGGTTAGCACAGCTGCCTCACAGCACCAGGGACCTGGGTGCGATTCCACTCTTGGGTGACTGTGTGTGTGGAGTTTGCACATTCTCTCCATATCTGTGTGGGTTTCCTTCAGGTGCTCCAGTTTCCTCCCACGGTCCAAAACCGGGCGGGTTGGGTGGATTGGCCATGCTAAATTGTCTGTGGTGTCGAGGAATATGCAGGCTAGGCAGATTTGGAGGGTTGGTGCAGATTCAACGAGCCAAATGGCCTCTCTCCGCACTGTGGGATGCTATGATTCTCGAAAACTTACAGTTCATCGGTTGGTGGTAGAGGTGGCAGAGTCCCAGATTTAAGACAAACCAATGAATTTGGTCAATCCATTGTAATAGCGGAGAATGACACAGCCCCTGTACCTTTGTAATAATTGGAATGGTTTGCTATAAAATCACCAACTGATACAATACAACAAATACCAGGGTATTTGATGATATTATTTATGATGCTTTTCTGACCTTGACTGTAGTAGCAATCTCCAGTTGTCAAACCATCTGAGGAGGTTATGTAAGTACCTGACTCAGCACTGCATTTAATCTCCTGACTATAAATGCTTTACAACTTGTCTCTCTTCTCTCCCTTTTTCCGAACAAAACTTTCCCTTGATTCCCCTTCAATCCATTTAGCCAATCTGTCTCTGATTCCCAATCAATCCTCTTTGCCAATCTCACTTAGATTCCCAATAACGACATTATGCCACTCGATCTCAGATTCTCAATTAGTACACTCCATCATTCTCACTTTGATTCTCAATCACTATTCTCTGCTGATCTCAATCTGATTGTCAATCAGTATTCTCCGTTAACTTCACTTCAGTTCCTAATCCATACTCTCCACCAGTCTCAATCTGATTATCAATCAGTACTCTCCCAATCAATGCTTTCGCACTGACTCCCAATAAATGTACTCCTGCACTCTCGCTTTGATTGCCAAACAGTACCTTCTGTCAGTCTCTCTGTCAGGCTTCCTAATCAATGCTGTCAATCTCTCTGATTCCAGCCCATTACTCACTGATGGTGCAGACTGGAGAGACTGCTAACATATTCAGTCACAGTTAAACAAAGTTTTAGCAGTTAGTACATGTGATGTTGGAAATTTGTGATCTCCGAATGTGACTTTTGTTTGGTCTGAATATTTGTAGTTCGTCCTAAATTTGTTGCAATTGTAAATTTGTTGCACCGAATGCTCTGTGGTGGATATGAAGGTTGCACTGCATTTACAAGGTTAGGATGTGTTTGAACATGACCTGGGCTTGCTGACTTTTTTATTACGATTGTGTGGGTGTGTGTGTGTGGGGGTGTCTGTGTAGTCTGACTCTGAATAATGGAATGTTCATCTTCTCTAGACAATGCATGCCCATTCCCAGTTTTGTATGAGTGGAGACCATACTCTTGAAGGAACAGAACATGCGATTCAAGAGATTGCCAGGGAAGAGGCAGATGAACGTTTTGTCATTGTTCTGAGTGATGCTAACCTGGAGCGATATGGCATAAGCCCTGCCAGGTTCACCCAAGTCTTGACTTGCAACCCTCAGGTTAATGCGTTCGCCATTTTCATTGGCTCCCTGGGTGACCAAGCAGAAAGGTATTTTCACAAAAAATATGAACTTTCATTGTTGCTATTCAGCATTTTATTTGTGTATACACAATGTAGGGGTTTAGCAACATCCGTCACGAACAGTGACTAGGAGCAAGTCCTGAAGAACATGTCTGCCAGGCTGGATCTGCAGCTGTTAATGAGAGAATCAACATGAAAAAAACTAACCAGACTTCTTCCTTGGTAATCTGCCTGTCACAGATTCTTCTGTCCATGACACTATCAGTAGGAGTGACCACCCCGTGTCCTTGTCCAGTCCACTCCTTATGGAATTGAAGTCTCCTCTTCACATTGAGGATACCTTCCATAATATTGTGTGATACTACCAGGGTGTCAGTGGAACAGATCTCAAAAAGATTTAACAACTCAAGACAATGCATCCATGAGGCTCTGAGGGCCATCAACAGCAACAGGATTGTATTTAACTATAGTCTATAACCTCATGGCCCAACATTTCTCCCACTCTACCAGTATGTCAAGCCAGGGGATCAGCCCTGGTTCAGTGTAGAGTGTAGGAGGGTATGCTAGGAGTAGAACCAGGCATACCTGAAAATGAGATGCCACACTGGTGAAGCTACCGAACAGGACTACTTGCATGCTAAACATCGAAAGCAGTATGTGACAAACAGAACTAAGTAATTCCACAATTAGCAGATTGGATTTGAGGCTCTGCAATCCTGCACTTATTGTCTTAAAGCGGTAGTCAATTAAACAATGAATGTAAACATCTTCATTCCTAGTGATGGTAGACTCCAAGATGTCAGTGAAAAAGACTGGACCTATACAACTATCTTCAGCCAGAATTGTTGGGTCAACATTTCAGGAGATTCGCATCATAGTAATGTTACTGGATAGTCATCCAGCGAGCAAAACTGAAGTCAATGGGAATTGGGAGGACGGGCAAGCTCTCCACTTGTTGAAGTCATACCTGGCACAGAGGTAAATGGTGGTGGTTGTTGGAGACCAATCATCTCCGCTGTTCACATTTGTAATATTGAGACACTGGAGCAATCTGTGTCTGCATGCAGCAAGGCTTGAACAGCATTCAGGCTTGACCTGGTGAATGCCAAGGAACATTTGTGCAAGGCAATGACCATCTTAAATGAGAGAACCTGACAACCTCCTGTCAATGGCATTGCCATTGCTAGACCTCTCAAAGCATCCTGAGAGTAACCGTCAACCAAAAACTTACAGGACCAGCCCTGTAAAAATTCTGCAACAAGTAGCTCATCGCCTGACTCCCCAAAGCCTCTCACTCCTGATCAAGTGTTGTGTTTGTTCCAAGCAATGGCGAACCTTGAGTGTTGTTGAAGCTGCTCTCATCCAGACAAATGGAGAGTATTCTATCACACTGCTGACTTGTGCCCAGTGGATGGTGGACAGGATTTGCAGAGTCAGGAGGTGACTTACTCTGCAGATTTTGCAGCCATTGCATTTATGTGGCTCATCCAGCTCAGTTTCTGGTCAATGGTAACTCCTAGGATGTTGATTTTGAGGGATAGTTAGATTCTGTTGTGCTGGAGATGGTCATTACCTGGCACTTGTGTGGTATGAATGTTAGCCCAAACCTTGATATTGTTCAGGTGTTGCTGCATATGCACATGGAATGTTTCAGTATCTGAGGAGTTGCAAATGGTATTGAACATTGTGCAGCCATTGGCAAACATCTCCACTTCTCACCATATGATGGAGGATGGTAATTCATGAAGCAGTTGAAGATATATAAGCGTAGGACTCTACCCTGAATAATTCCTGTAGAAATGTCCTGGAGCTGAGATTACTGACTTCCAATAACCACAACCATCTTCCTACGTTCCAGGTATGACTCCAAACAGCAGAGAGTTTTCCCTCTGATTACAATTGTTTCCAGTTTTTCTGACATTCATTAATGCCATTCTCCAGAAATTCAGAAAGTGGGTGTCAGAATCCCCAATCAACTACAAACTAAAATGTTGGATTTTCAGTAATGGCTGCCATGGAGATTCGCCTCTTACTCCCCGGTCTCTCGAGTCTCCTCTGCCTCGCCCCGGTCTCTCGAGTCTCCTCTGCCTCGCCCCGATCCCTCGAGTCTCCTCTGCCGTCGCCCCGGCCCCTCCAGTCTCCTCTGCCGTCG